ACATTTTCTTGGGTTAACTCTAACAGCAATTTGTTCGACCATTCCTGCAGCTTGTCCAGGTTTTCTTCAAGCCTCAAGCTGTCCTCCTCTGTCTTAAACCTTCTCATAATTTTGGCGTCGTCAGCAAACATTGAGAGAAATGAGTCTATACCCTCTGGGAGATCATTTACGAATATCAGAAACAGGATAGGTCCAAGCACAGAGCCCTGTGGGACTCCACTGGTGACTTCACGCCATTCTGAGGTCTCACCCCTCACTGTAACTCTCTGCTTTATGGGGTACTGTGTCAAAGGCTTTCCGACAGTCCAAAAAAATGCAGTCCGCCCACCCTTCTCTTTCTTGTTTAATCTTTGTCACCTGATCGTAGAATTCTATCAATCCTGTAAGGCAAGATTTACCCTCCCTGAACCCATGTTGATGGGTGGTCACGAAGTCTCTTCTCTCCAGATGTGTTACTAGGTTTTTTCTCACAATCTTCTCCATCACCTTGCATGGTATACAAGTTAAGGACACTGGCCTGTAGTTCAGTGCCTCCTGTCTGTCACCCTTTTTGTATATTGGTACTACATTAGCAGTCTTCCATATTTCTGGTAGGTCCCCCGTTTCCAGTGACCTACTATACACTATGGAGAGTGGTAGGCAAAGTGCTCCTGCACACTCTTTCAATACCCATGGCGAGATTCCATCCGGCCCAACAGCTTTTCTCACATCCAGCTCCAATAGGTGCTTCTTGACCTCTTCTCTTGTAATTTCGAACCTTTCCAAGGTCACCTGGTTTGCTGCCACCTCTCCTACCGCCGTGACTTCTCCCTGTTCTATTGTAAAGACCTGGAACCTTTTGTTGAGTTCTTCACACACCTCTTTGTCATTCTCTGTGTACCTGTCCTCGCCCACCCTAAGTTTCATCACCTGTTCCTTCACTGTTGTCTTCCTCATGATGTGACTGTGTAGTAGCTTTGGTTCGGTCTTGGCTTTATTAGCTATATCATTTTCATACCTTTTCTCAGCTGCTCTTTTCACTGACATACTCGTTCCTGGTTCTCTGGTATCTCTCTCTATTTTCTGGTGTTCTGTTATTATGGAAGTTCCTCCATGCCCTTTTGTTCAGGTCCTTTGCTTTCATACATTCCTTATTAAACCACGGATTCTTCCTTTGCTTCTCTGTTTTTTCCTGTCGGGCTGGGACAAACCTGCTTGCAGCCTCCTGACATTTTTGGGTGACATAGTCCATCATGTCTTGTACGGACTTTGTTCTGAGTTTTGTGTCCCAATGTATATCCCATAGGAATTTATTCATTTCCTCATAGTTTCCCTTTCGGTACGCCAGCCCTTTGGTTCCCAGTTCTTTTTTGGGGGTGATAATTCCTAGCTCAACCAGGTACTCAAAGCTCAATACACTATGATCACTCATTCCCAAGGGGGCTTCCAACTTAACTTCCCTTATATCCGACTCATTTAGGGTAAATATCAGATCAAGCAAGGCTGGTTCATCCCCTCCTCTCATTTTTGTCGGTCCCTTGACGTGTTGACTTAGAAAGCTTCTTGTTGCCACATCCAGCAGCTTAGCTCTCCATGTGTCTGGGCCTCCATGTGGGTCTCTGTTCCCCCAATCTATCTTCCCATGGTTGAAGTCTCCCATGATTAGAAGTCTGGATCCGTTCCTGCTAGCCACAGAAGCTGCTCTCTCTATTATATTGATGGTGGCCAAGTTGTTTCTATCATATTCCTGTATGGGTCTTCTGTCATTCGGTGGGGGGTTATATATGACTACTATTATAATTTTCTGTCCTCCAGTTGCTATGGTGCCTGATATGTAGTCACTGAAACCTTCACAGTTCTGAATTACCATCTCTTCGAAACTCCAACTTTCTCTTAGTAGCAGAGCTACACCACCAACTCCTCTCCCTTCTCTCTCTTTCCTCACTACATAGTAGCCCTGTGGAAACACTGCGTTTGTTATAATTTTCGTTAACTTTGTTTCTGTGAGTGTTATTATGTCTGGGTTTTCTTCTTGTGCCCATTCTCCAAGTTCACTTGTTTTATTTGAAATCCCATCTATGTTAGTGTACATCGCCTTGAAGCTCACTTTCTTCTGTTCATTTTCATGTCTCTTTCTTGGCGAGCATTCTGCTGGTGTGGGAAGCTGTTCCGTGGGTGAGAGGATCTGTGAGGTGGTTTGTAGGGTCTCAGAGGATTTTGGGGTGGGGGGTGTAGGTTTAAGGGAAGGGGGGACAGGTAGGGTGTGAGTTAAGGAGGTAGGGAGGACATGGAGGATACGGGGTGAGGGGGGAGGAGGGATAGGGAGGGTATGGGATGAAGGGGGAGGGGGGAAAGGTGGGGGGGGGGTCATGATGGGAATGGGGAAGGGGTGTCAGGGTCAGAATGGGGTGGGGCGGGGAAGGAGGGTTGGGTGGGAGCAGGTAGGGTGAGGGGAAGGGAGGGTTTCTATGCAGAGGGGGGTGGTGGTGTTGCCCCCCCCCCCTCTGCTGTTGCTGGGATTCTGGTTTTGGGTTCTCCTCTTGTCTTTGGGACTGTTGTGTTGAGGGCTGTGATTTCCTGGTTTGCTCCTCTCTCCCTGCGCTTCCTCCTTGCCTCTGCTGCCCTGGCTCTCTCCTCCTTCGTCCTGTCCCTCTGCAGGAATACTTTTTTGTATCCCTCCATATGCTGCAGACGACTCTTCCTTTCGAGAATGTCCTCCTTCGTGGTTTCATTTGTAAACACCACCTTTACAAGTCGGTTTCTGTCCTTGTTGTACCAGCCCAACCTGAAAACCTTCTCAATGTTATGTACAGCCCCTTCCATCTGTAACCCCTTCAGTAGCCCATGTACTGCCTCTCTATCCTTGCCATTCCATTCTTGCCTGTTGGATCCTTCCTGTTCTTTGATGCCTACAACTACCACTGATCTTTTTCTCTCCAGCAGTTGAGTGGTGCACCTTGCTGCTTCCTGTGAGGTGGCTGCTTGCATCGCTACCTCCCTCACTGTGTCCATTGCTTCTGAGCTCTTTTTCAGTATATCCGCAAATGTATCAGGTACAGAGGCATTTCCTTCCAATGTAACATTCCCACCTTCCCTTTGGATGATAATCTGATGCTCGGTCTCTTTATTTTTCTCTGTGAGAGATTTGATCTCCTCCCTTGCTGATGCTAGCTCACTTTGCAGATTGTTAATTGTAATCCTCATTTCATTCACCTCCCTCCTGAATTCCTCCAGAACTTGGGTTAGCAATTCCTTCGTTTGATCTCCCTGGCTGCTTCCCGTGTCCCTGTTGCGGCCTCCTGCCATTTTGCCCCTTGTCAAGAGAGAGAGAGAGCAAGAGAGAGAGAGAGCAAAAGAGAGCAAGAGAGAGAGAGAGCAAAAGAGAGCAAGAGAGAGCGAACAAGAGAGAGAGAGAACAAGAGAGAGAGAGCAAGAGAGAGAGAGAGAGAGAGAGAAGAGAGAGAGAGAGAGAGAGAGAGAGAGAGAGAGAGAGAGAGAGAGAGAGAGAGAGAGAGAGAGAGAGAGAGAGAGAGAGAGAGAGAGAGAGAGAGAGAGAGAGAGAGAGAGAGAGAGAGAGAGAGAGAGAGAGAGAGAGAGAACATGTGTGCGCATGGGATGGGGTAAAGAGGAGGTGAGGTGTTCAGCTTACAGCAGGTAATAGAGGTGGAAGAGAAGGGGTAAGAGAGGGGGTGGATTATGAGAGGTTTTATCTCCTTTCCATGAAAGGTGTTAATCCCTTCTAGTATGTGTGTGCGTGTGGGTGTGCATGCATACGTACGTGGGCTTGAGTGAGTGTGTGCGTGCGTGTGCGTGCGTGCGTGCACGTGCGTGTGTCACTAGTTCCCGTAAGCGGTAACTTCTACCCAGAATGAGCCACACTGAGATTTTAAATATATATACTATCCTGAACAAGAATTTGATAATATTTTACCTCACACTGTACACCTGATTACTTGACCAGAGAGGGGGTACATACCAGTATGATTCCCGCTCACACAACTAGATGAGTAATGATGATGTATGGTTGACGATGGTGCTCCGTCGTCGCCTTTCCACTTGGTGATTCTCTAAGTGCTAGTAGATGGACGATGTCGATTCTTTTCTACACAAATCTCTGGAGTCACAGTCACCACTCACAAACACAGTCAGCAGTGCCACGGCGGGCCGTCCCACCTGGCCGTCAGGTCAGGTCAGGTCAGGTCACTACGCGGTCCTCCACACTGTATGCACCGGTGATTCCACTAGTTACACTTTGGTTTTGTTGCACTATCGCTAGCGATATGACTATGCTATGTAGCACCCTGCTAGCTACACACTGCGAGAGGCCAAATACTATGATCCAGCCTCAATAATCCTTCAATGTCCCGAGAAATTGACGAATTTCCGCGGACCTCGCTAATCGCGTGTGTCTCCTACCGTTGCTGGCCTACTACTGTGTGTGTGTGTGTGTGTGTGTGTGTGTGTGTGTGTGTGTGTGTGTGTGTGAGTGTGTGAGTGTGTGAGTGTGTGAGTGTGTGAGTGTGTGAGTGTGTGAGTGTGTGAGTGTGTGAGTGTGTGAGTGTGTGAGTGTGTGAGTGTGTGAGTGTGTGAGTGTGTGAGTGTGTGAGTGTGTGAGTGAGTGAGTGTGTGAGTGAGTGAGTGAGTGAGTGTGTGAGTGAGTGAGTGAGTGAGTGAGTGAGTGAGTGAGTGAGTGAGTGAGTGAGTGAGTGAGTGAGTGAGTGAGTGAGTGAGTGAGTGAGTGAGTGAGTGAAAACTTGAGGGGCCTCGAAGTCAATAAATCACCAAGAACTCTACGACCCAACCAAGATTGGATCCTGCTGTACCAGGGCTCGTCCAACTGGTGTACACAGTTCTTATCTGTACTGAATTAAATAGTGGGAGGAGCCCGGTTTAGGCAAGCTAATGGTCGAGTCAAAGAGTTCTTATTACTGACAAAATATATATTTATAATTAAAAGTTATTTTTAAATTATGTTTAGCTTTGTGAACCAGATTATTTATAATAGACTCTCCCTGACTCAGCTCACCATAGAAGGTAAAGTTACCCGGAGTGCCTGGGCCATCGACGACCTCCTCTTCATCCCAAACAGAGAAGACTGCAGAGGTAAGCAATAGTCTCTTAATCTTCTGATCTTAATAATTTTGATGCGTCCATTTCAAGTAGTTCATTTCTAATATATGTAGTTCCTTAATAGCCTGAACTGTACTACTTGGCCTTGTCAGCAAGGCCAGATTTGCCTATCAGGCAGACACTTTTCGTTAATTGAAAATATTTCCATCCAAACTGGTTCTTTCCTAACATTATTAATATACCAGCTGTACGTAGCCACGCGTTGGTGTGGGTCAGAAATGGAAAAGGAAGAAAAGAGAAAGCGCACATTTGTAACATGTTTAATTTCACAATGCTTGTAGATACACAATATGATTTGTTCTTCCATTGTCTGTGGAGATATAGATATTGTCTAGTTTGCCGACTATAGAACTCACGACCCTCACCGTCCTCGTTCTCCCAACAACTCCCCACTACCCCGTCCCTCCGTCCTCCCCATCATTCCCACCTCCACCGTCCTTGTCCTCCCCATCATTCCCACCTCCACCGTCCTTGTCCTCCCCATCATTCCCACCTCCACCGTCCTTGTCCTCCCCATCATTCCCACGTCCACCGTCCTTGTCCTCCCCAATCATTCCCACCTCCACCGTCCTTGTCCTCCCCATCATTCCCACCTCCACCGTCCTTGTCCTCCCCATCATTCCCACGTCCACCGTCCTTGTCCTCCCCAATCATTCCCACCTCCACCGTCCTTGTCCTCCCCATCATTCCCACCTCCACCGTCCTTGTCCTCCCCATCATTCCCACCTCCACCGTCCGCTCAGTAAATTTTAGTAAATGAAATTTTATTATACAAAGCATGTACGTATTGCACGACCTATATATGCATTGATGATGCTTCTCTTATACCTATCAGTGCATTCACTCCTACCATCGAAACATTTTCCTGCATCAGTTGGTTTACGGTACACATCTGTGATGAACCTCTCGAGTTGCCGTCAACGGGAACATCGAGGAATGGAGTCCTGCCTCCTTCACTTTTCTCAACGGTGAACTTCAAGCCGGAGAATTAATGTAACTTGCCACGAAGCCTCTACAATGTGTTATCATTGTCAACACATTTGAACATGTCGTCGACATTTCTACATCAGATACTAAGGTTCAGCCCTTCCCACTGCACTCAACAGACTCAACTGGTCTCAACAGAAACCATGAATGGGACTCAATGAACTCAACATGAGCCATGAATGCCTTAGCGACCCAGACCCCTCAATAGCGACCCCAATCTGAAAGTAGAGTTTACCCTCTGGGCACGGAGTACTCTTGTTTTCAGCGAGTGTGGAGGTGTATGAGGAGACCAGGAGTGTGGTGGTGTGAGGAGACCAGGAGTGTGGTGGTGACAGGAGAGCAGGAGTGTGGTGGTGACAGGAGAGCAGGAGTGTGGTGGTGTGAGGAGACCAGGAGTGTGGTGGTGTGAGGAGACCAGGAGTGTGGTGGTGTGAGGAGACCAGGAGTGTGGTGGTGTGAGGAGACCAGGAGTGTGGAGGTGTGAGGAGACCAGGAGTGTGGTGGTGTGAGGAGACCAGGAGTGTGGTGGTGTGAGGAGACCAGGAGTGTGGTGGTGTGAGGAGACCAGGAGTGTGAGGAGACCTGGAGTGTGAGGAGACCAGGAGTGTGGTGCTGTGAGGAGACCAGGAGTGTGGTGGTGTATGGAGACCAGGAGTGTGAGGAGACCTGGAGTGTGAGGAGACCAGGAGTGTGGTGGTGTGAGGAGACCAGGAGTGTGGTGGTGTGAGGAGACCAGGAGTGTGGTGGTGTATGGAGACCAGGAGTGTGAGGAGACCTGGAGTGTGAGGAGACCAGGAGTGTGGTGGTGTGAGGAGACCAGGAGTGTGGTGGTGTGAGGAGACCAGGAGTGTGGTGGTGTGAGGAGACCAGGAGTGTGGTGGTGTGAGGAGACCAGGAGTGTGGTGGTGTAAGGAGACCTGGAGTGTGGTGGTGTGAGGAGACCAGGAGTGTGGAGGTGTGAGGAGACCAGGAGTGTGGTGGTGTGAGGAGAACAGGAGTGTGGTGGTGTGAGGAGACCAGGAGTGTGAGGAGACCTGGAGTGTGAGGAGACCAGGAGTGTGGTGCTGTGAGGAGACCAGGAGTGTGGAGACCAGGAGTGTGAGGAGACCTGGAGTGTGAGGAGACCAGGAGTGTGGTGGTGTGAGGAGACCAGGAGTGTGGTGGTGTGAGGAGACCAGGAGTGTGGTGGTGTGAGGAGACCAGGAGTGTGGTGGTGTGAGGAGACCAGGAGTGTGGTGGTGTGAGGAGACCAGGAGTGTGGTGGTGTGAGGAGACCAGGAGTGTGGTGGTGTGAGGAGACCAGGAGTGTGGTGGTGTGAGGAGACCAGGAGTGTGGTGGTGTAAGGAGACCTGGAGTGTGGTGGTGTGAGGAGACCAGGAGTGTGGTGGTGTGAGGAGACCAGGAGTGTGGTGGTGTGAGGAGACCAGGAGTGTGGTGGTGTGAGGAGACCAGGAGTGTGGTGGTGTGAGGAGACCAGGAGTGTGGTGGTGTGAGGAGACCAGGAGTGTGAGGAGACCTGGAGTGTGAGGAGACCAGGAGTGTGGTGGTGTGAGGAGACCAGGAGTGTGGTGGTGTGAGGAGACCAGGAGTGTGAGGAGACCTGGAGTGTGAGGAGACCAGGAGTGTGGTGGTGTGAGGAGACCAGGAGTGTGGTGGTGTGAGGAGACCAGGAGTGTGGTGGTGTGAGGAGACCTGGAGTGTGGTGGTGTGAGGAGACCAGGAGTGTGGTGGTGTGAGGAGACCAGGAGTGTGGTGGTGTGAGGAGACCAGGAGTGTGGAGGTGTGAGGAGACCAGGAGTGTGGTGGTGTGAGGAGACCAGAAGTGTCGTGGTGTGAGGAGACCAGGAGTGTGGAGGTGTGAGGAGACCTGGAGTGTGGTGGTGTGAGGAGACCAAGAGTGTGGTGGTGTGAGGAGACCAGGAGTGTGGTGGTGTGAGGAGACCAAGAGTGTGGTGGTGTGAGGAGACCAGGAGTGTGGTGGTGTGAGGAGACCAGGAGTGTGGTGGTGTGAGGAGACCAGGAGTGTGGTGGTGTGAGGAGACCAGGAGTGTGGAGGTGTAAGGAGACCAGGAGTGTGGAGGTGTGAGGAGACCAGGAGTGTGGTGGTGTGAAGAGACCAGGAGTGTGGTGGTGTGAGGAGACCAGGAGTGTGGAGGTGTGAGGAGACCAGGAGTGTGGTGGTGTGAGGAGACCAGGAGTGTGGTGGTGTGAGGAGACCAGGAGTGTGGTGGTGTGAGGAGACCTGGAGTGTGGTGGTGTGAGGAGACCAGGAGTGTGGAGGTGTGAGGAGACCAGGAGTGTAGTGGTGTGAGGAGACCAGGAGTGTGGTGGTGTGAGGAGACCAGGAGTGTGGTGGTGTGAGGAGACCAGGAGTGTGAGGAGACCTGGAGTGTGAGGAGACCAGGAGTGTGAGGAGACCTGGAGTGTGAGGAGACCAGGAGTGTGAGGTGACCTGCAGTGTGAGGAGACCAGGAGTGTGGTGGTGTGAGGAGACCAGGAGTGTGGTGGTGTGAGGAGACCTGGAGTGTGGTGGTGTGAGGAGACCAGAAGTGTGGTGGTGTGAGGAGACCAGGAGTGTGGAGGTGTGAGGAGACCAGGAGTGTGGTGGTGTGAGGAGACCAGGAGTGTGAGGAGACCTGGAGTGTGAGGAGACCAGGAGTGTGAGGAGACCAGGAGTGTGGAGGTGTGAGGAGACCAGGAGTGTGGTGGTGTGAGGAGACCAAGAGTGTGGTGGTGTGAGGAGACCAGGAGTGTGGTGGTGTGAGGAGACCTGGAGTGTGGTGGTGTGAGGAGACCAGGAGTGTGGAGGTGTGAGGAGACCAGGAGTGTGGTGGTGTGAGGAGACCAGGAGTGTGAGGTGACCTGGAGTGTGAGGAGACCAGGAGTGTGAGGAGACCTGGAGTGTGAGGAGACCAGGAGTGTGAGGTGACCTGCAGTGTGAGGAGACCAGGAGTGTGGTGGTGTGAGGAGACCAGGAGTGTGGTGGTGTGAGGAGACCTGGAGTGTGGTGGTGTGAGGAGACCAGGAGTGTGGTGGTGTGAGGAGACCAGGAGTGTGGAGGTGTGAGGAGACCAGGAGTGTGGAGGTGTGAGGAGACCAGGAGTGTGGTGGTGTGAGGAGACCAGGAGTGTGGTGGTGTAAGGAGACCTGGAGTGTGGTGGTGTGAGGAGACCAGGAGTGTGGTGGTGTGAGGAGACCAGGAGTGTGAGGAGACCTGGAGTGTGAGGAGACCAGGAGTGTGAGGAGACCAGGAGTGTGGAGGTGTGAGGAGACCAGGAGTGTGAGGAGACCAAGAGTGTGGTGGTGTGAGGAGACCAGGAGTGTGGAGGTGTGAGGAGACCAGGAGTGTGGAGGTGTGAGGAGACCAGGAGTGTGGAGGTGTGAGGAGACCAGGAGTGTGAGGAGACCAAGAGTGTGGTGGTGTGAGGAGACCAGGAGTGTGGAGGTGTGAGGAGACCAGGAGTGTGGAGGTGTGAGGAGACCAGGAGTGTGGTGGTGTGAGGAGACCAGGAGTGTGGTGGTGTAAGGAGACCTGGAGTGTGGTGGTGTGAGGAGACCAGGAGTGTGGTGGTGTGAGGAGACCAGGAGTGTGAGGAGACCTGGAGTGTGAGGAGACCAGGAGTGTGAGGAGACCAGGAGTGTGGAGGTGTGAGGAGACCAGGAGTGTGAGGAGACCAAGAGTGTGGAGGTGTGAGGAGACCAGGAGTGTGGAGGTGTGAGGAGACCAGGAGTGTGGAGGTGTGAGGAGACCAGGAGTGTGGTGGTGTGAGGAGACCAGGAGTGTGGTGGTGTAAGGAGACCTGGAGTGTGGTGGTGTGAGGAGACCAGGAGTGTGGTGGTGTGAGGAGACCAGGAGTGTGAGGAGACCTGGAGTGTTAGGAGACCAGGAGTGTGAGGAGACCAGGAGTGTGGAGGTGTGAGGAGACCAGGAGTGTGAGGAGACCAGGAGTGCTGATGTGTGAGGAGACCAGGACTGTGGTGGTGTGAGGAGACCAGGAGTGTGGTGGTGTGAGGAGACCAGGAGTGTGGTGGTGTGAGGAGACCAGGAGTGTGGTGGTGTGAGGAGACCAGGAGTGTGGTGGTGTGAAGAGACATGGAGTGTTGAGGTTTGAGGAGACCAGGAGTGTGAGGAGACCAGGAGTGTGAGGAGACCGGAGTGTGAGGAGACCAGTAGTATGAGGAGACCAGTAGTGTGAGGAGACCAGTAGTGTGAGGAGACCAGTAGTGTGAGGAGACCAGTAGTGTGAGGAGACCAGTAGTGTGAGGAGACCGGGAGTGTGAGGAGACCAGTAGTGTGAGGAGACCTGGAGTGTGAGGAGACCAGTAGTGTAAGGAGACCGGGAGTGTGAAGAGACCTGGGGGTGTGAGGAGACCGGTAGTGTGAGGAGACCAGTAGTGGGAGGAGACCAGTAGTGTGAGGAGACCAGTAGTGTGAGGAGACCAGTAGTGTGAGGAGACCAGTAGTGTGAGGAGACCAGTAGTGTGAAGAGACCAGTAGTGTGAGGAGACCAGTAGTGTGAGGAGACCGGGAGTGTGAGGAGACCGGGAGTGTGAGGAGACCAGTAGTGTGAGGAGACCAGGAGTGTGAGGAGACCGGGAGTGTGAGGAGACCGGGAGTGTGAGGAGACCGGGAGTGTGAGGAGACCAGTAGTGTGAGGAGACCAGTAGTGTGAGGAGACCGGGAGTGTGAGGAGACCGGGAGTGTGAGGAGACCGGGAGTGTGAGGAGACCGGGAGTGTGAGGAGACCAGTAGTGTGAGGAGACCAGTAGTGTGAGGAGACCAGTAGTGTGAGGAGACCAGTAGTGTGAGGAGACCAGGAGTGTGAGGAGACCTGGAGTGTGAGGAGACCGGGAGGGTGAGGAGACCGGGAGGGTGAGGAGACCGGGAGTGTGAGGAGACCGGGAGTGTGAGGAGACCGGGAGTGTGAGGAGACCGGGAGTGTGAGGAGACCGGGAGTGTGAAGAGACCGGGAGTGTGAGGAGACCGGGAGTGTGAGGAGACCGGGAGTGCGAGGAGACCAGGAGTGTTGTGGTGTCGCTTTTTGGTGCTTCGGGTTGTAACTGTTCCTGAAGATCCGGGTTGGTTTCTATTTTACCTTCCTGTCGCAGCTTGTACAAGTCTTGGTAGTTAATTGTTAATTCAGCTGTTGTTATTTCTTAGATTCAACTACTCAGAACAAAAGTTCCAAGCAGCACGGACCAAGGTGAGCCCGTAGTAGACTTGTTACCAATTCAGCTTTACCATAGCTTATCTGTACTTTGGATAAAGATGGCACTTTGTACCAAGATTTAACAACTCTGCCTGAGTATCAGTAAGATATTAACTTGAAAGGTTGATAAAACTGTCAGACGGTTAAGGTTCTCGATTGTATGGTTCACTCCCATACAATCGAGAAAGCTATTTGAGTATTTTAGCCTTTCCTCCTTGTCGATGTGTCGATAGCATTACCGAGAGCTTAACCCGTCCTCTTAAAAATAACGTCGAGCACCGAACTGCGTCGCCCTAAGTCTTCGCTAATGTCTAGCGTCGTACAGAGGTTATTAACTTCTTGTAGTTCTTCTTTTAACATAAAATATAAAACAAATTATATACATAAAAATTTGTGATGTTCAGAATTACCATCAAAGCAGTATTGCATGAATATTTCTGCAATAAAAGACACCAAAGAAAAAACGTTAATTACATTAACAATTATCTCTCCATTTGAGACATTGTACACCCAAGCTGGAAGGTTTTGTCCCCTGGTGTCTGGGGAGAAAATGTTTGATGAATATTGTGTTCATATAAATTTGCTATTAGTTCCCCTTACATGTCACTTGTGTTCATTAATTAGAATTTGATCAACTAGATCTTCTTTTCTTTTGTTCAGTAATATGAGTCAAATTTAAATACATTAAGTATCGACATCATTATTACCATTTTTATACTATAATGTTAATATAAGTCTTTTCTCCCTGACAGTGCATCCACCCTACGCCAAGCTGTGAAGCGACTCGTGAACCTTCAACTTCAGACTTGCAAACATATTTCCAGAAAATGTCATGCTTAGATATATTGAAGCAAATATATGAAACAAACCGCAATGAAATCACAATGGCGTGATATATCAATGAAAATCAAACCCGAAAACCAATGAAAACCCGACCACTCTCTGGCCTGCAGAAATATCGTTCACGCGCTTACGTCCCTGTCAGATGGCAATGCAACCACAATTGCGTGCTATACCAATGAAAATCATTTTGAGGCAATGGAGTGATTTGAACTCGCGACCTGGTGATTCACTTCTAATCACTCCATTCTCTCAAAAATATTTTCATTGATATATCACGCAATTGTGGTTTCATTGCCATCTGACAGGTACGTAAGAGCGTGAACGGTATTACTGCAGGCCAGAGAGTGGTCGGGTTGGCTAGAGAACCCGGGTTTGGGCCCCGGTTTGGGGTCTCCAGAACCCAGAGGACTCTGTAGTGTTTTGGGTTGGCCAACTTTTGTACCATCGAGGCCAAGCGGTTAAGGCAAGCGTCTGATAATCACCTGGTCGCAAGTCACTCCATTGCCCCAAAATTATCTTTATATCAAGAAGAAATATTTATATTTAATGGAACACAATAAGTAAAAAAGATGTTAGAATTAAAATACTGCAGATAAAACTATAAAGATGTGTTTATATACCCAGGTCTGGTCTGGTTTGGTGTTGGACTTGAGACCTATAAACGTTTAGAGAAGCCCTACAGGCTCACAATATCATGGGGAAACGAAGGCCAAAAGTTCAGGGAGTCCTGCAGTGACAAGAACACAGGAGACCATAAACAAAAATAACGTAGAAGCTGTACAGGACCGAATAAAAAAGTCTAAGGAGAACATTTTAATTTGGAATAAAAAACTATTACTAAGTTACTTAACTTTTTAATTGTAATATCAAGCAAAATAACACAAAGGATAAATTTATGATTTAATTTGGAAGAGCAGCATAGTTATTGCTCAAATTCGAACCTGGGAGCAGAAATTAAAATCAGAAGACAGATAATAATCACAGTCAAGATCAAGTATTTTCCAAAATCGATTATGAAAATAAAAACAATTAACATAATAATATAGTGTTATAGAGAGCATTAGCAATGACGTATAGTAAAGCAAAACAGAACCTACAACTAACAATACTTAGCCACAATGTTGTTAGTAAGCATTACATAAACCACCTGAAAGCTAAGGAAGTTTAAATTTGCAAAAAAAAATTTTTGTAAGTTTGCTAAAAAGGAATTTTACTTGAAAAGTCCTAGGCTGGTGTTACAATAAATACCAGCCTAGGTATTACCAGTACAAATACCAGAGTTTTCATGATATGGGCGTAAGACAATACCAGAAGCCATTTCAACCATTCCAGGCACACTGAGACCTCCTTGTTCCTGCCAGTGATGCCAAGCTCTCAGCAGCATCAATTAAGGATGAACACGTAACAAAATATGGCACAGTCTGAAGCATTGAATTTCCTCAATTCTCCCTCACACCTTCCCTCACATTAAAACATTTTGTTACACTCTCCCACCTTTGACAACGGTGGTCTCCCACCTTTGACAACGGTGGTCTCCCACCACCGCTGCTGCCCTGTCCCCCATCTACTCCCAATTCTTATTATTTCTATATCTCTCTCTTTTATTTTAACAAAGAATAGGGTTCAAAAGGGCTGTCAAATGACGTACCTAATGAAACTGCAAGTAAAAGCTGTTATCATCAGCTCAGCTCATCAGAAGCCTGCTCCTAAAAACTTATTTATTTCAAGAGTATGTATATTGGAACTTTTATAAAGGAACTATCATACAAGGAACCTGGTGAAACTGCAAGCAAGTGCTGTAATCCTTATCCCAGTTGAAACCTACTCCAACAGACCAATGTATTTAATGAACCTATTATATATAATTTCCCTTACTATATTATTATATTAGTCTCTTATAATACAATAAATTATATAAATCAATAGGAATCAACTTTACTCATTAATCATATTATGTAACAATCATATAAGTAACCAGAGGAGCCTGTAGCCAACAGTGTGCCAGAGTCTTCATGTGATCAATTGACCTGATCTCCCATGTATCAACCTATTGAGCAAAGAAGTTCCAGATGCGAGTCAGCCTCGGAATGAATGATCGCTGATGGAGTGATGTTCTTGAGAAAGGCACTTCCAGCATGAGACTGTTGAAGGTTGAGACCTTAGTGCTACGGGTGCTTACTATTGGCTGTCTACGGAGTTGGACCAGGTGCGGAACTTTGAGAATGTTGGCCTTGTACATGACTGGAAGACCACCAACGTCAAGACGGTGTTGCAGGCTCTGATGTTCAGACCGTTCCCACCAGACTTGGTCAAGACTAGAGATGAGCATTCTTGCCCGTCTCTTAACTTTGTCCAAAAGTCTGATGATTGATAGGGGAAGACGATGCAGGAAAGGGGTCCATACTCAAGCTGAGAGCGAACTTGTGCTTCATATAAGGTTTTGCTGCCCCTGCTGACAATAAGGTGTGAAATGCGCCGTAGAGCTGTAATTTTCCTAGCTGCCTTTTGAGCTAGGTTAAGCACGAGGCTCTTCATTGTCACTGAAGAATCGAACTTCATTCGACTAAATAGTCGAAATTGATATTCATAATGCCCATTTCGTGTGTGAGCTCCAGGGTTTTGCCACCCACTTGCAAGCTTGTCCGATTTGACATGTGCATTCTAGTTACCATCATCGCTTGTTTCTTCTCAGTCGCAAATGTGACCTGACATCTCTTACTTCAGGTAGAAATCACTGAATGTTGATAATTGAGGAGACTTGCAGCAGTTTGTATTTCTTCCTTTCTGTATGTAAAGGTTAGAGTGCAGTCATCAGCATAGGCTTCAGCTTCAGGAATGAAATGAAGTTGAAATAGACATTCCACAGCAGAGGGCCAAGCACACTACCCTGTGGAACCCTGTAAGGAATTGAGTGGTTTTCAGATTATGTTCCATTGAGGACTACCCTTAGAGTCCGTTCTTGAAGGTAATCTTTTAATAACACTAAGATGGAGCCTGAGATGCCTAGTGCTTGAAGCTTCACTACTAATCTAGTGCCAAACCCGATCAGAGGCTCCTGCTGTGTCTTGAGCAACAACACAGCTGATCTTGAACTCATCCAGTGACTGATGCCACTTAGTGGAGATTTTTAGCAAGAGATCAGCAGCAGATCGGCATTTTCTAAAAACCATACTGTCGATCACATATTAGCCGATGATGTCCAAAAAATATTATTTGCAGTGTAATTAATGATTCCAGGATTTTATGAGTAACGAAAACAGTGACACAGGTCTGTATTTACCTCTCTCTCTGTCCCTCACTCTCCCGCTCACTCTCTCCCGCTCTCTCTCTCCCTCTGTTTTATGTCATTATCAAGTCTGCCCAGTTCCTGTTTTTGTCCAACGTAATGAGGTCCAGTTCCATCAGTCTTTTTTCATAGCTCAATTCCATTAGCTCACAAACGAACAATACTGCATATTTCTGGACCTTTGCTAGTATTGTTTTGTGCTTCTTTAGGTAAGTGCTCCATGCTGGGGCTGCATACTCAATAATAGTCTAACAAAGGATGTATACAGCCACCGGAAGGGATCTTTGCTCAAGTTCCTGAAGGATGACATGACGAGTGCCACAATGCCATATACTGCACCCTGCTGATATATGCCTCTCGTGTTAGACTTAGCATTATGTCCACTCCTTAACATTTTTGTGAGTGTGTGTGTGAATGTGTGAGTGTGTGTATTTATTATTTTAATGTTCTATTTTAGTTTGCAGGATCGAACTACTTAAGCTTTTGGACCCTGCCTTTCTAACCAATCTATTTTTTCTCTATTATATTGAATACATATATTTCTCTCCAACACGTGCACGCATACACACACATCCCCAGGGAAGCAGCCCGTAACAGCTGTCTAACTCCCAAGGTATCTATTCAATGAATGGTAACAGATGCATCAGGGTTAAGGAAATTCTGCCTATCTGTCTCCGCCGGGTGCGGGGATCGAACCCTAGTCTAGGGTTCGAACCCTACTCTCCACCGGGTGCGGGGATCGAACCCTCAGCACCCGAGTCTAGAAGGCTGTCTACTCGGCCACCCAGCCCTACCCACACACACACACCTGTGAGTGTGTGTGTGTGTGTGTGTGTATTCACCTAGTTGTTATTACTAACTACTAACTAATTACCCCCCCCCCCCCCAACACACAGGAAAGCAGCCCGTAACAGCTGTCTAACTCCCAGGTACCTATTCACTGCTATGTAACAGGATCATCAGGATGAAAGAAAGTCTGCCCATTTGTCTCTGCCCGGTCCGGGAATCAAACCCGGGCCTCAGGAGTACGAGTCCCGTGCTCTGTCCACTCAGATACCAGACCTCTCTAGAAGTGTGTGCGTGTGTGTGTGTGTACTCACCTAATTGTACTCACCTAATTGTGCTTGCGGGGATTGAGCTTTGGCTCTTTGGTCCCGCCTCTCAACCGTCAATCAACTGGTGTACAGATTCCTGAGCCTACTGGGCTCTATCATATCTACATTTGAAACTGTGTATGGAGTCAGCCTCCACCACATCACTTCCTAATGCATTCCATTTACTAACTACTCTGAGATTGAAAAAGTTCTTTCTAACGTCTCTGTGGCTCATTTGGGTACTCAGCTTCCACCTGTGTCCCCTTGTTCGCGACCCTCCAGTGTTGAATAGTTCATCCTTGTTTACCCGGTCGATTCCCCTGAGGATTTTGTAGGTTGTGATCATGTCCCCTCTTACTCTTCTGTCTTCCAGTGTCGTAAAGTGCATTTCCCGCAGCCTTTCCTCATAACTCATGCCTCTTAGTTCTGGGACTAGTCTAGTAGCATACCTTTGCACTTTTTCCAGCTTTGTCTTGTGCTTGACAAGGTACGGGCTCCATGCTGGGGCCGCATACTCCAGGATTGGTCTTACATATGTGGTGTACAAGATTCTGAATGATTCCTTACACAGGTTCCTGAACGCCGTTCTGATGTTAGCCAGCCTCGCATATGCCGCAGACGTTATTCTCTTTATGTGGGCTTCTGGAGACAGGTTTGGTGTGATATCAACTCCTAGATCTTTCTCTCTGTCTGTTTCATGGAGTACTTCATCTCCTATTCTGTATCCTGTGTCTGGCCTCCTGTTTCCACTGCCTAGTTTCATTACTTTGCATTTACTCGGGTTGAACTTCAACAGACATTTGTTGGACCATTCACTCAGTCTATCTAGGTCATCTTGTAGCCTCCTACTATCATCCTCTGTTTCAATCCTCATAATTTTTGCATCGTCGGCAAACATTGAGAGGAACGAATCTATACCCTCTGGGAGATCATTTACATATACCAGAAACAGTATAGGTCCAAGGACTGACCCCTGCGGGACTCCACTGGTGACGTCTCGCCAATCTGAGACCTCACCCCTCACACAGGCTCGTTGTCTCCTGTTGCTTAGGTACTCCTCTATCCACCGGAGTACCTTCCCTTTCACTCCAGCCTGCATCTCCAACTTTCGCACTAGCCTCTTGTGTGGCACTGTATCAAAGGCTTTCTGACAATCCAAAAATATGCAGTGTGCCCACCCTTCTCTTTCTTGCCTTAT